GCCTGGGGCATTGGTAAAAACAGGACTCTTGGAACCAAGCCATGCCCCTTGGCTCAGGTTTTCCAGGGGAAAGTCCTGGTCATCTATAGGGCAGTCTCCCCTGGGATTCTTACCTTCTAGGAAGCGTGGGAAACAACACACCAAAGGACACCTGTGGCAAAGACTACCAGTGTCCACCGAGTCCAACCTCTCCTTCCTCAGGGTCAAGACTGGAGCAGAGCTCATGGTGAAACCACATTTGTCCCTGGCCACGTGACTACAGGCACTCTAAGGGAATGTGCGTGGAAGTCACCTGCGCTGCTTAAGGCCCAGAGATTTTAACAGAGTATACGTGAGTCTTCCATACTTTCTTTTCTTTCCTTTTTAAATGGATGGAGATGGCAAAAATATAAAATAAAATGAAACAAACAAAAAAAACCAAAGAGCTGGCAGAGCCCCAAGATGCAGAAGCCTGGATCCTTGTATCACCACAAGGAGGAAAGCCACCCACCAATGAGGGTTCTGTATTTAAAAGTCCTAATATGTTTTTGGGTGTATAAAAATACTGACAGTTTAACCTATCCTAATGTAACACCTAGAGATTAAAAAAAAAACCCTACATAACAAAAATACAAGTGGAACAGTGACAATTCTGCCCACGGCAGTGCTATCTCTGTCTCACACTTCATGGGACTATCCAAAATAGCTACATGAAAAACGTACCAGGAGGATCAAAGTGAGTATGTTTCAGAATTTCATTTCAGAAAATTAGAAGTTGGTGAACTGCTATAGAGAAGTCAGGTAGACAAAGCCAGTGAAGTACTGAAACCTACATTTACACTTTCTTGAGGAGAACACCTTTTTGAGCAAACCACTGGGTCAAACTGACCAGTTTGAGAGGGGAATACAATACACTTTCTGACAGGAATATCTGACATTTCAACCTCACTGATCAACAATTCTCAAATTTCATTTGCTCAGAGGGGAAACAACTTGTATGGTGAGATTCCACCTACAACGACACAGAAGTTAATTTCTTTTTTTCCCTCGACCTTTTCTCCCTTCCTTTCGTCAGCAGGTTTCAGAATGGTGACTCACTTGTTGAGGCTTGCATTGCCACCCCCTGCGACTGCTTCTCCAACCTACCAGTAGCATTGAATGACATGCAGGCCTGTGCAGAGGGACACAGAAATCTGACCTAGAAATGTCTTGCAGAGATCTGAGCCCACTGGGCAAGGAAAAGAGGGAGATCCTGAACCATGTTCCTGGGTAAGCCATGAGCCAGCATGTGGTGTTTAAGTCCTCCTGGTACTCAGGTAGCACTGCTATCATTTTAAATGCTTTCAAAGTATTCATGAAAGTAAGCACATGCTCATATTCAGCAGAGTATAAGAAATATCAAAGGGATGTGCTACGAAAAGAGAGAGGATTGGTATTCAATACATTTAACAAATTCACTTCTTCCTCTCCCTTGGCTGGGATTTTGATATCTTTGCTGTAAGGAGATGCTCTTAGTCTTTTAGCATTTTGACACAGGAACAAAGAAAAATTAATAGTTGGAATGCAGGCAAAGGTGAGGCTGAATGTGAGATACCTACCTATTAATGCAAATGTAAGCCCTAACAAATTCATAGGCAGACTAAAAATCATGTTGGCCAATGGTTCTTGAAAACTATTTGTAAAACTCCTCTACTGGCCCCAAAGAGTTAATCACTCCCCCAAATATCTTCTCATCCCATGAAGGTGAACTCTGGAAAGTCTGGGTGAATTTTAACATCATTCATTCTCGACCACAACTAGAAATCCAGTGTCAAAAAACATCTGTCCCTGGAAGATCTGCCCTAAAATATATTCTCTAGAGCACCCTCCCACGACCTAGTTTTGTGACATCAATGCCAGGACATATCTGGGTGTTAGGTGCTCTGGAAAACTCCCAGGTGAGAAATTCAGGCCATCCAATTAGGACACTTCCAGGTTACCTCTAGCTTAAAGACTCTGATTGGTTTTATCTCATTAGTCTTCATCACATCCCTGTTCTAGGCTAAGCTTTCCCTCAGCACTGCTGCTTTAGAGAAGCAATGGACAGATTTTGCAGAGAATTTTAAAAAATTCTAAATTTCCAGCTATCAAGGCTAACTTCTTGCCTGTCAGCAGCTTTTAAAATATTAATGGCTTTCTCCTCATAACAGACATGCTGAGTGGAGTCTGAAGGGCCTGCCCTTAACTGTAACTAGAAATGAATTCCATGGAATTTACCACATTTTTCAAGAGAAGGCACACTTGGGGAAGGGGTGGTGGTAGAGGGAAACTTCTGCCCACCCTCCTTTCCAGCCCAGATCCTTCTCATTCAGGCTCTAGACTCTACACAACATGCAGGCCTTCTCTGCTTGCAGGCATGACAGCTACTTTCAGCACTTCTGGTTGGGTAGTGATAGCAAGGATGGCCTGAGCTCAAGGAACAACAGAGTGTCTGCTAAGAGGGCTTAGGATTTGTCTGAAAGTCATCAGCTCCATGTTCAAGATGGGGGAATAGCAGGCCCAAAAGAGAACCAGCAACCAAATCAGGGAGAAGAAAACATCACAGAAACAAGGTGATGCGTCTCAGACTGTCTTCTTAACTGAAAGGCTTGTAACAAGACTCCAGTGAAAGATGTTGGTTCCAGAGATGATAATCTTTGGTTCTAATAAAACTGTTCATTTCTTCCTTGATGATCTCTCACCACTAGAGAATAGTCATACAACTGCATGTCATCCTCCTTTCAGGTTCTACCAACCCCTCCTAAGGTATCCGTGGTTACCTGAGAACTAAACTACTATTGCTCCATATAAGGTGAGGACTGTCCTGCAATACAATCCGTTATTTTTTTCCCCTATTAACTGGAAAGCTCATGTTCTACTTACAGTTTGAAGACAGGCAGTGATTTAATGGGAAGACCTTTATATACAAGATTTTGAGTCTTGGGTCTTTCTCAAAACATCACTAACAGTCTATGGATTGCCAGTAACATCTTTGTAAACAAGAATAATTATCCCTAAAGACTACCCAGTCTATGAAAAAAATCTACAGTGCTTTTCCTTCAGATGAGCTTTATATAGAATGCAAGTCTGAAGCAAACTACTTGACCATGTTCTTCTGGGTTTCCCTCAACAGCTGTCAAAGTAGGATGTTAAGAAATGGACACTTGTCTAGATTGTTTTTTTTTAAACCCAAATTCTTTAACTGTGGCTATGTTCTGATTGCTTTCAGAACAAAAGAAAACTATAAGCATCAACAATCTTATTTTTAAGGGGTCTACCTTTGTTTAGATGAGTACGTGAAAGTGTAGGCTAATCAAGTTTATCTACAAACAAAAAATTCTTAAGTACTGAATAGTAAAGATGTTGGCAGCAGATTAAGTGTTCTGTCTCCCTGGGCTTGCTCTAAGCTCCCCGGCTTCTAGGAGATCTGACCATCACAATCCATGTTTCCCCTTTAGAAGATAACAAAATAGAACTACCCAGTTTGGGAAAGGGCTTGCTGAATGCAGTTTTTATCAGTCACTGCATTTGGCTCCCATGTTAACGACAGCAGAATAATTATTTTTGAGATTGTATACTGCCACATGGAACAGAATAAGCTGGAACACCAGGAGATAATGGACTGATTACGCAGCTATCCTTTTAAACATTTCATCAGTCTCAGAACAGCAGATAAAGCAACTATTTCATGTGTACCAGGGGGTTCCAGATTAACCCTGCAGCATTAAAAAAAAACTGTGGAACCACAAGTCAGCTGATTCCAATTTAAAGCAATAAATCACTGGTGAATGCTGACATAGTTATATGGGGTCTGGTTACCAGGTGACAGTTACTTTTTCATCCAACTTCTCTACTGAAAAATACACTATCTTGCAACTGCCTTGAAGCTGCCATAAAAATACATTTTTAAAAGAGTAATAAACAAATATCAAAGAATAGCCTTCATAAAATTGTCAGCATCAAAATGCTACAGAAAAGTCCTCATGAAGAAATGAATGGAAGTCAGTAGTAAATACATACCAGCACACTAAGTGTGAGGAAATGGAACATATTTTGTGTACATGCACCCAAGATGAGATCCCCATTTGGGAATAAAGATGTAAGAGTTTCTCCCTCTTCCCTCTGCCACTGACCATGCAAGTCACACAGAAGTGAGATTCTATTCAGGGGATCAGGTGAGACAGCCCAAAGGACAGTCTGTGTTACTTCCTTGGTGGATTAACAGAAAAGTGGCTCACTGAGAGAACCCATAAATGCTGGTGCTGCTGCTCTCACTGGAGGTATGAGGGAATGGGGACACTAAATTCTCTTCTGGAGAGTACAGAAAATGATTTCTGTTTTCTTTTTTCCCTTGTGATATTTAATGAGGTACCATATGCTACCCTAGTATTTGTTTATTTTATGGGAACTGAAATTTGAGATGAAACTGGATGCTACTTAAGCCACAAAACCTTTTTTACCTATATGAAAGGACAGGAGACAAAGGAGTGAGCATCACAATGGGAGGCTCCTTGATTCAGCACTTTCCAGGTATCAGAGTGCAGTCACAGAGGGTGGCTTTAGTCCCAAGTCTCCCAGCTGGAGCAACTCACTGACCACCTTCAACCACATATTTCTCTTCTGTGTAAAATCAAGACGCTCCTCCCTACCCTCCCTACCCAGCCTACTGACTCAGCAAACACAGACAATGAATGCAAGAACAATAAAAACCTGCCTTACTTTTCTTTCTTTCCTTTTTTTCTTTAAAAAAAAAAAAAAAAAAGGAGAGGGTCTTGCTTTGTTGCCCAGGCTGGAATACAGTATAATCACAAACTCATGGGCCCAAGCCATCTTCCCTCCTCAGCCTCCTGAGTAGCTGGGATCACAGGCATGAACAATCATGCCTGGCTAATTTTGTTTGTGAGTGTGAGAGTGTGTGTGTGTGTGCATGTGTAGCTAATTTTGTGTGTTTGTATGTGTAGCTAATTGTGTGTGTTTGTGCGTATTTTTTTTTTTTGTAGAGATGGGGGTCTTGCTATATTGCCCAGGCTTGTCTTGAATTCCTGGGCTTAAGTGATCCTCTATCCTTGGCCTCCCAAAGTGCTGCAATTATAGTTGTGAACCACCACACCTAGCCTCAAAGCACCCTGTTAATAGATGAATTTCATGCAAAAGTAAGTTATTATTGAACAGGTATCTATGTTCTTTAGTGTAAAAACCCAATCCACTACAGTAGGAGCTAAGCTGCCTGCAGCAAGTTACTCCCGTCTTCCTTTTCTTCCTCCAAAGACGCTGACACTGCTCATGTGCTTCCCAGGGTTACTGTGGGACGACTGGTCTAAATGACTCCAAATTACACATTCAGGGATTTATATGATAATACAGCTGCTAGCCAATAAAAATAGCCTAATTATGAATTCAAACTATATGCAAATGCAAAGGATAAAATAATTCTCAAGGAACCAGTTTTTTTTTTCCCCCAGCACGAGGTGCTGTTTCACCATGGACGTGGACAACGGAGGTTAAATGAAGACTTTGTTTTGCCATGTTCAAGAAAGAGTATTAATATTTTGTGACTGCATCTATGAATGAAGACACTCAGAAAGCCATATGTTTCCAACTTAGGTTAATAATAAGGCCATTTTTCCACCCACTCTTTGGCACTGCTGCAATATTCCTGGCCTCAAGTGGGAGGCAATGTGGAACAAGGCCTCTCGGAAAACAAAGGACACACAAGCCTCCCCGTGCCAGTTCCTATAAAACACCAGCAGGTGGGCCTCAGCCTTGACTGTCTCAGTGACTGTGACTCTCCCTTTCCTTTCCTTTCCAGCAAGCATACAGTTGTGGTGTCAAGGTCCACCAAAAAAGCCTGGGTCACGACACCTAGGTTATGGCAAAATAATTCTCCTAATTCCAATCAGATGCCAATCAAAACTCTGAACACAACTGATGCCCTGTCCTGTTTTCTTTAGTGACACTGCTTTCCACAAGCACTGCTATTGGCCTGGATGGATGTGGAAGGTTTGTGACCACGATTAGGAACTAGCAAGGGATGAAAGAAATGGTACCTAGGCCTGGCTTCAACGACCTCATGTAGCAATAGCAGGAGTCAGGGAATATCTCATTTACTCATGGCCTTTGCGAACAACCCACTGCATGCTAAACCTCCTCTTGGTGCCTGCTGTGTTTCTGTTCTCCTTGGCGCAGAAAAATGAGCCAAACAGCAGTTAACACTCTCAGAAAGCACTTGGGTGGTATTCTCGGAAGAGGACAGTAAGAGTGCCAAGTGTGACATTACTCCGCTATAACAGGAGAAATATTATCACACCTAGAGGTGTGATAGGAGTTTAAGTTCATGGTCGAAAGACGACAATGAATATCATAGATTTCTATAGCTTCCAAAAGGGCATTCAAAAGCTCCTCAACTATGCAGGGAAAGGCATTACCGTCCCTGCTACACTGAGATGGGACCAGCGCCTATGGAAAAGGCTGCCTGCTGAATATTCTAATTCAGAGCAGAAGCCACTGAGATCAAGCTTACCTCCCCTCCTTCCTGAGATTACGGCTTGTCCAACAAAGACTCATCAGTATTTTTGTAACCCAGATAGTACTATAAAATATGAGGGATGATTGTTTCCTGTGAAACAGCAAATAAAAATTGAGTTGAACTTTTCAACAGCACACACTGTTGTGAGCATTCACAACCAATGCCACTGTCTTTCAGATTCAGAAACTGCTAACTGAATTTCTATTAAAATTTACCATTACAGTCACAGCAAAACAGCCTAATATTAACACGTCACTGATATCTGCTAACAAAAGCGGGGAGGGCCAGGAAGAGCACATTTGAAGGCTACAGGCAGTTTTCCCTTTGTGTAGCTTGCTTTACCTTCCCTCCTACCCTTCAGTGATCAATGTTTGGACCCTGAATATTCAGGACGCCTTTTTCAGGGAAAGGCCTTACTGGTTCTAAAGAACTACATGAACGCAAAGGTGCACACATTTTCATTATTAGGCAAAGAGCAATTTTTTCTCTCCAAAATTTTGAGTTTTCTCATTTTTCATTTCAAAAGGAAAACTCAATTTAAAAAGTAAAAATACTGTGAAAAATTATAAAACATGAAACGTACCAAAATGAGTTTTAAGACCGCAAGTCTTGTCCTTGAACTACCAAATTCCTAGCTATGTGACCACTATTTAAACTAAATCTCAGTTGTCTCTTCAGAAAATGAAGATGACTAGACCTCCTCAGCCTCTTTCCCAGATTATACTCAGAACCACTACTTCATAAATCTATCAACCTGAAGCATCATATAGGCACATTTTAGAGTTTCCTAGAAAAGCTATTCTGTTTACAAAATACCACAACCACGCTTACAATCAAACGGTGTCTTCAAAGATCACATTCTTTTGGTTAAACCTGCGTTATTATGTTCTCATTGCAAAACCTATCTCGGACCCTCAAAGGGTCCAAGTCCTTCCGCTATACACCTGCCCTTAGGTGTGTTTAAGTCTCTCCCACCTTCCCACATGCTGCCGTCCTCAGGTGGAACGAACAGGAATGCTGGGCTCAAGAGAAGCAACAGCCCCAGAGTGGGGAGGGCATTGGCAGCAACACAGAATTCACCCTTAATTCAACTACAGCCCATTGTATAGAACCTTCTTCAGCTAATACAGTTTGTGCAAAATTTTCTCCTGTACTCATTTAAATATAATTTCTGCACTTGTCACGGTGAAACTTTTTGAGTTATTCTCCACACAGAAACCTGTGATTTCTTACAGACACCCAGTTCTCTGATTTTGAGACGGTTTTGATGGGCAAGGTGGTTATTTTCACTCTTTCTCTTCTTGCATCTGGCACCTAGGGCTTTTCCAACCAGGAAGCAATGACCGCCCTGGAGAATCTCAGCCCAGATCCTCACGGCACCCCAGAAAAGCCCGCTCTCCAAAGGACAGACTATGATGACATTCCATGAAGTCACTGGAAGCCCTGGGCGATGCTGAAGATCTAGGGGTGTTTGGGTTCAGGACTGTGAACTACCATGGCTAATTGTTGCTAAATAACCTGGGGTGGTTGTTGGAAACAATGTTAAGAAAAACAAAAAGTCATAAATAACTTTACTTTTAAAAGGTTAAAATTAATAGACACTGCCAAAGTGAGTGGAGAATCAAATGACAGCCACCCCAAATGAAATTTACCAGAGCGCTCTTGTGACATCCACCTCGGTCCTTCTCAACCCTGGCTGCACATCAGAATCACCTCAACACCTCAGGGGCTACCTGAGGCCTAGCAGGGGAATTACATCCAAATTCCTGAGGGTGGCATCGGGACACTGGTATTTCTCTGTTTCAATTCTTCTAGGTGATTCTAAAGCACAGAAGGGGTTAAAAACACTGCACCCCATTTGAGTCTCATGTGAACTTGGTGAAAAGAGCTCTGTGAGGGTGGGCAACTCACCCGGGTCACATAGGAGATAAATACTGTCCAGATCGGACCTCCACAGCCTTGACTCCTTTCCAAAATAGCAAGGCTGGCTTGTTATGGTCAGGAGGCTGTCATGGGGACAGCTGTTATGGGGAGGTAAAGGAGCAGGGTGTTTGACTTCCATGGAAACCCAGCTCTTGCATAATCAAGTCCTTCCACGTTAGCAGCTGACGCCGTGGTCACCCCTCCATCAGTCAGTCCATATGGTAGGGCTACGCAGCACTGTGGTGGCAAACAACGCCATGAGACTACTCAGCATGGGAAAAATGGCTTTCTGGGGGTCAAAACGGCTGATGCCCTTGAATGCCATTAGAATAAAGGGAGCCACGCTCTTGGTGCCTCCAACTAAGTAATAGCAGCGCTGCTTCCCTCCAGCCTTTCTGGGATCAAGGGGATATTCACTCAGGATGCTGTGCTTCCTCTGCATCTCTTAAAGTATTTTGGGGCTGCACTGGAAGAACCCCATCTCAACCACGACTGAACCCAAGCACGCTCCTCAGTGGGTGTGAATCTGCCAAGATCCCAGCCTGCAGGGCTGTACAGCCAAGCAGGTGGGACAGCTGGCTCCTTAAACCTGATGAGCACACTCAGGAAAGCGCTGAACGTGGAGAAGAGCATGTGACACTCCCTCACTACTAATTGGCTACTCTGGGAAAACAGCAATAACCCATAAAATGACACTCACTTGTCAGGAAAATTCCCTGTGTTGTCAGGTTCCTAAGAAGTAGAGTCGACAAAGGGTAGGGGCTTTGCCTGGCAGGGCAGGCAGGGTGGAGAACAGGCTTGGGAGAAACAGTGGGAGCATGCACACGGCCCCTCCCTCCTCCTTCACTGGGGATTTATTTCTCTATTCAAACTTTGGATCATCACTTTGGTCAGAAAGTTAAACACCAATGAGCTAACCATTACATAACTATATTTCACTTAGGAAGAAGTCCAGTCTGCCTACTGGGTACAGGCCTCACCTTCTAAGGAAGCCAGGGTGTATAACATCCCGGGAGGCCACAGTTAAATAAAACCCAAGGGCAGGCCAATGGGCGCCCCAGGCTCCAATTTCCCCTGCTACTCAGTGACTTCAGATTTCAAGGTGGTGTCCCTATTGTGTGCCCCTTGATGGGTCACTTTCCTGAGACCACAAGGCTGGTAGTTGACGCCCCACAGCACATCCTGGTCCAGAGGTCTCCTTCCCACTGCAACACCAGGAGCCACCTCTGAGCTCCTTGTCCAGGGTACCTCCTCCAATGACAGAGGAAGGGTACATGTGTGATGGAGCCCCTTATCAACACCAGGACAGAGGCATCAGCTTCAAATGGCTGAAATAAGCAGAGCACTGCCCCTTCCCATGCTCCCACTCCTGCCCCTTTACTCTCCAAGCCCCATAGCTGGACAGAACCATCAAAGTAGGAAACCTCTCTCTCTAAAGAGGAAAAGGGACAGGACTAGATGAACGTCTATGAGTACCCGGTGTTACAGGCACTGAGCCAGGAGCCTTTCAATATATCAGTCCCCATTTACAGATGAGAAAACAGATTCAGAGAGAACCAGTAGCTTGCTCGACCTCAGGCATCTAGAATTTAAACCCCAATTCACTTCTAAGCTTTCTGTACACATGGCCAGGAACTCCATGGACATCAGCAGCACTGAATACACTGATGCCCTTTGCAGCTATAACCACTGTCCATCTCCAGAACTTTCCCATCTTCCCAAACTAAACTTCCACACTCCTTAAACCCTCACTCCCTATTCCCTCCCGCTCCAGCCTCTGGCAACCACCATCCTATTTTCTGTCTTTCTGGGTTTGACTGCTCCAGGCACCTCATAAGTGGAATCATTTCAACTGATTTTTTTTTTAAAGAGATAGAAAGCCCAGTGACTGAGAGTGAGAATTTAGTTTTGATCTTTCTCCTTTTTTGTATGCTTTCAGTCTTTCAGGGAGATTTTCGAGGACAGAAGCTGTCCTTAGCACTTCCAGGGTATAGCCTACTTCGTGATTTTTTTCAAAGAGAACAAGTCTGTTGAGAATCCTTCCTACTGGGAATTACTGCTGTGATTAAACAGTCATTTCTTGAACCAGGTACCATGCTTGGTTGCGGGAAAACAAAGACAGCAAAATGAAAATCTCTGCTTTTAGTGTTCAGTTTTTTTTCAAAGAGAAAAGGGCAGTTCTTGTTTGCAAACTGAGACACAGAGAAGAAAGAGGAAATAACTCTAGCTAAGTAGGGAATAATATTGAAACATCCTGCAAACAATTTAATTTCCCTATTACTTTTAGCCTAAGAAACTTTTATCACTGGGCCAAAATTTCATCAATACCTAATTTGGTGTTCATTCCCAAGATTGCCAGTAAATGCATTCTGAATGGGCATGTATGAATTCCCTACTATGGACACAATGTAAATTTCTAAGAGCATGTAAATGAGACATGAATTCTGTCCTCAAGGGATTTATAGGTGGTTGGAGATGAGACATGTGCATAAATAAGTTAATACAAGGTAGAAAGTGAAGGCTTGAATAAAAGAGGTGCACATAAATCTTTACAGGAGTTTGCAGAAAGAAGAGATAATTTCCAACTTATAAATGTGTTTAAAAATGTGCAGGAAATGGAGAACCTGAAGAAAGACGAGCTGTCGACAAAAGGATATGGAAGTTCCTGGTCCAGAGGTCTCCCTCCCACTGCAACACCAGGAGACACCTCTGAGCTCCTTGTCCAGGGTACCTTCCCCAACGACAGAGGAAGGGTATATGTGTGATGGAGCCCCTTATCAACACCAGGACAGACATATCAGCTTCAAATGGCTGAAATAAACAGAGCACTGCCCCTTCCCATGCTCCCACTCCTGCCCCTTTACTCTTCAAGCCCCAGGACCAGGAATTTCTGTATCCAGTTATCAAATCTGTAGGAACAGAAATAAAGATTATGAAGGGAATTAGAGGAAAAAGAACAGCATGGTTTATGGAAGACCTGGAAAGCATGGCCAATGAATCTGGGCTGTATTTCCCAGATTTATTTATTTATGCTCTGTTTATTTCAGCCATTTGAAGCTGATGCCTCTGTTGATGTGGTGCCACTAAAGGTTCACATACCATCACTGGTGCTGGAATTCCTCTGGATAAATAGAAGGCACCGTGAAAAAAGAATCAGGGATAGGAAATATCATCAAGAGCTGTAGACTTCTGCCTGTGGTCTAGATGGACAGCCCTCCTGCCTGAAAGCAGCTCATGGCCTGAAAGTTTCTGGGCCACAGCACACGGAGCTGGACACCAGGCAGGACCCAGTATACTCCCTCAGCTGACAGTGTGGGGCCATTAGAATTCACCGGAAAGTGCAGCAAAGAGGAAGGGGCTGCAGAGAGAGAACTCCAGAGATCTGGAGACGTCCCTCTTGAGTATTCGGTGTTGATCAATGCATGTGACTGAAGAAACTACCAGTTAAAGAGCCCTCTAAAAAGATGAAAGGCTTGGCATAGTGCCTGTCCTTAGCAGACCCACCGAAAAAACTCACAATTCACGGTCTTGGGTAGAGGACTAGGAGAGGCCTCACTTTAGAAGTAGAAAATAATCAAATAGATGCTAGAATCAGCAGACAAGAACTCAAAAAAGTCATTATCCCTGTATTTGGTATGTTCCACAAGATAAGCAGAGACTTGGAAGACTTAACAAAGATCTGAAACGGACTTCTAGAGATTGAAAACCACAATGTCTGAGATGAAGAAAACAGTGAATGGGATTAATGGCAGATTAGACATTGAAGAAAAGATTGGTGAACTGTGTTTCAAAATGGAACAGAGCGACAAACAGGAACTTCAAAAAAAAACGGGAGAAGAATACAACAGGGATCTGTAGGACAACTTCAAATGGCCAATTATACAAGTAATTTGAGTCTCCAGGGAGAGGAGACAGAAAGGGGACAGAAAAAATAGTTGATAAAAGATATCAATGAAAGGGAACATCACACACCAGAGCCTGGTTGGGGGGGGGGGGGGGGGGGGGGGAGGCGGGGCTATGAGAAAAATAGCAGGGAATGGGGGATCGGGGAGGGATAGCATTAGGAGAAATACCTAATGCAGATGACAGGGTGATGGATGCAGCAAACCACCACCCTGGCACATGTATACCTATGTAACAAACCTGCACGATCTGCACACGTACCCAGAACTTAACATATAATAAAAAAAAGAAAGTTTTCCAAATTTGATGAAAACTATAAGCTCACATGTCCAAAAATCTCAATGAACCCCACGTACAAGAAAACCATACCAAGACACATCATAATCAAATCACTCAAACCCAGTCACATAAAGAGAAAATGTTAAAAGCAGACTGAGGGGGAAAAAAAAAGAGAAAGAAAAGATGACATCAGAAACACCACAAGTGAGAAGACAGTGAAGCAATGTCTTTAAGACACTGAAAGAAAAGAAAAATCCTGTCCACCAAGAACTCTATAGCTAGTAAAAGTAAACATCAAAAAGGGACAAAATACAAAAGGTGAAAGACATACAAAAAGTGAGAGAATTTACCACCAGATGACTGGCTGTGCAAGAAATATTAAAAGAAGTCTTTAAGGCAGAAGGAAAATGATACAATAAGGAAATATCAATCTACAAAAAGGAAGGGAGCAAGGAAGTGGTAACTATGTGGGTAAATAGGCGAGATAGTTTTCTTGTGATTGAAATCTCTATAAAAGAAATTTGGCCAACTAAAATTGTAACAAGGTATTGTGGAGGTACTTTAACATGTAAAAGTAAAATGTGTAACAGCAACAGCATGAAGTCTGTGAAGGGAGAAATGTAAGTAGATTCTCACACTTTATGTGAAATTGCATACTATCGCTTGAAGTAAATGGTGATAAAGATTTGTAACAAATACTCCAAAAAAAAAAAAAGAGCTATAATAAGCCAACAAAGGAGATAAAATGAAAAAAAATACTTTAAAGTCATAAGATGTGGCAAAAGGAAATAACAGAGGGGAGGAAAAAAAAAAAGTGAGATTAGAGACCTAAACCAAACTTTATCAACAATTACATTATGTGTTAATTATCTAAACGCACCAATTAAAAGGTAGAGCTTGTCCGAGCAGATTCAAAAAAATTAAGACCCAACTACCTGCTGGGTACAATAAACACGCTTTAAATATAAAGACAGAAATAAGTGAAGAGAGAGAATGTAAAAGTATGTATTATTTAACAGTAGTCAAAGGAAGCTGAAGTGGCTATATGAATATCATAATTTCAAAGCAAGGGATAATCCCAGAAATAAAAGAGGCCATTTCAAAACAACCAAGGATGAAATTCACAAAGAGAACAGAAAAATTCTAAACATTTACTCATCAAAAAACAGAACTTTAACATATGTAAGGCAAAAACAGAACTCAAAGGAGAAATACACAAACCCACAAGAGAGATTTCAATAGCCTTTCTCAGTAACTGATAGAATAAATATTAATATATAGAAAATTGGTAAAGATACTGAAGATCTGCAGAACACTATTCAATCAAACTCACTTTTGTAGAACACTCAGTCCAAGAACAACAGGATACCTGTTTGTTTGAGATGCACATGGACTGTTTACCAAGACAGTTCATATTATGGGGCATCAAATTAAGTCTCAAAGAATTTAAGAGTGATCAAGCCATACAAGGTATATTCCTTGACCACAATGAAACTGAATTAGAGATCAGTAACAGAAAAAACTCCAACCCCCAGCTCCCAAATACAGGTTGAGATGCTTTACCCAAAATGCTTGGTCCTATACATTTTTTGGATTTTTGCTTTCAGGTTTTTTTTTTTGTATTTGCATTATACTTACTGGTTGAACATCCCTAACCTGATCCAAAATGCTTCACTGAGCATTTTCTTTGAGCATCACATCAGTACTGAAAAAAGTTTCAGATTTTAGAGCATTTCAAAATTTGGATTTTTGGATTAGGGTTGCTCAATCTATATTCGGAACTAAATGACATATTCTGAATAACCCATGGCTCAAAGAAGAAATCAAAAGAGAAATTAGAAAGTATGTTCAACTGAATGAAAATGAAACCAGAGCATATCAAAATTTGTGGATGTAAGTAAAACAGTACTTAGGTGGAATTATATACCATTACTTTCATTTGTAAAAAAGATTTCAAATCAATAATCTCAGCTTTCACTTTAAAAATCAGAAAAATAAGAGCAAGTTAGACCCAAAGTAAGCGAAAGAATGAAAGCAATAAATTAAAATGAAAGCCAGAGAAATAGAAAAAAATAAAGAAAAGTAACAAAACCGAACACTAGCTCTTTAGTCAAAACTGAGAACTTTAAGACAAAAGAAAAAAAAAGAAGGCACAAATGATCAACATCAGGAGTATCAGGAGAGACAAGTGGAAATGTCTTTTTGTGTAGATTCTGTAGACATTAAAAGGATAATAGAGCATATACTGTTTTATGCCAATAAATTTGACAGCTTAAACGGACATATTATTTGAAAGAGAGAAACTGACTCAAGGAAAAATAGATAACCTATATATTCCTATAGGTAGAAATTCAATTTGTATTTAAAAACCTTCTCACGTAGATAACTTGGAACCCAGATGACTTATGTGATGAATTTTACCAAACTAAGGAAATAATACAACTTTATACACAATTTTCCAGGAAAATGAAGAGAACACTTCCCAATTTATTCCATGAGATCAGGACTGCATTATACAAAAACTAACCAAAGAAGTATATGTCAACTACAGAAAAATATTCTTCTGAACACAGGTGTAAAAATTCTAAACAAAATTTGAGCAAACAGACTCCAATAACATCATCATGACCAAGGAGGACTTATCCCAACAATTCAAGGTTGGCTCAACATTGAAATCAGTCAATACGGCGGGGTGTGGTGACGTGCACCTATAATCCCAGTACTTTGGGAGGCTGAGGCAGGAGGACTGCTTGAGCCCAGGAGTTTGAGGCTGCAGTGAGCTGTGATTGAGCCATTTCACTCCAGCTTGGGCAATAGAGCAAGTCCTTGTCTTAAAACAACAAAAAACAATGTGATATACTGTATTTACAAGCAGACAAAAAAACCCCTATGATCATCTCAATAGATTCAAAAAAAACATTAAATAATATCCATTCAGGATTATAATATTTTTTAATTTAAAAATTTTTTAAATTGTACTTTAGATTCTGGGGTACATGTGCAGATCACGCAGGATTGTTGTATAGGTACACACACAGCAAGGTGGTTTGCTGCCTCCATCCTCCCGTCACCTATATCTGTCATTTCTCTCCATGTTATCTATCCCCAACCTCCCCACCCGCCACTGTCCCTCCCCTAACACCCCCACAACCTCAGTGTGTGATGCTCCCCTCCCTCGATAATAACTTTCAGCAAAACAGGAAGACAAGGCAATGTCCTCAATAAAGGGCATCTATGAAAAACCTGCACATTACATCATATTTTTCAATATAAGAAAAGTTTTCCCCTAAGGTCAAAAACATGATAATAATGTCTGCTCTCACTATTTCTATTCACCTCCACACTAGAAGTTTTGGCCAGTGCAAGCAGGCAAGAAAAGATGATACCTAGATGACACCTACATTGGAAAAGAAGCAGAACTGTCTTTATGTGCAAATGACACGACCATCTATGTAGAAAATCCAACAGTCTCTTTTAAAAAGCTACTAGAATAAGTGAGTTTAGCAAGGTTGCAGGATACATAATCAATACACAAAAATCAATTATATTTCTATATGCTAGCAACAAACAATTGGAAATAACAAATGGAACAAAATTATTTAGAAGACCACTGAAAATATACAATATCCAGGGATAGATCTGACACAGGATATACAAAGTCCTGTTCAAACAGCAAACCACAAAACATTTGTGAGAGAAATCAAAGAAGACCTAAAAAAGTGGAGAAATACACCACTTCAAGGTTTTGAAGACTCAGTATTGCTAAGACGACAATTTTCTCCAAATTGATGACTAGATCCAATGCATTTCCAAGCAAAACCATGGAAGGCTTTTATTGTAAAAACTGTCCAACTAATTCTAAAATTTATAGAGCGATACAAAGAACCTAGAATAGCAAAAACTTTGAAAAAGAAGAACAAAGTTGGAAGACTACCAGTATCTAACTTCAAGACTCATGATAAAGTTGCAGTTACTAATATAATACTGATGCAAAAACAAACAAATAAGATCACTGGACTGGTCAGACTGTCTTTAAATAAACTGACCCATATACAGACAACTGATTTTGATGAAAGTACAAAAACAATCAGCGGAGAAAGGAGAAATAGTGGTGGAACTGAATATCCACAGTCAAAAAGATGAACTTCAATAAATAATTCATGCTCAATATAAAAATTAACTCAAAATACATCAAACAACAAAACATAAAGCCTAAAACTCTAACATTTCTAGTAAAAAAAAATACAGAAAAAAAACTTTATGACCTTGGGTTAGGTTTTCTTTGGTGTCAACCAAAAGCACAATCAGTAAAATAAGGAATTTATAAATAAAGCTTCGTCAAAATTAAAAACAGTTTTTTAAAAAATATTAAGAGAAAACAAGGCACAAACTAGCAGGAAGTATTTGCAAAATGTGTATCTAGTCAAATATTTTCATACAGAACATGTCCAGAACTCTCAAAACTCAACGAAAAGGCAACAACCCAAGTAAAAAATGAGAAAAGATCTGAACTGAAGACAGATCTACAGGAATCAAACATATCAAAAGATGAGTTGCATTATCAGCCATCAGGCAAATTAAAATTAAGACCACAATGACATACCACTAACACATAGTTTAGAGGGGGTAACATTAGGAATACTGATTATATCAAGTGTTGGCGGGAGTGTGGAGGTAAGAAACTCTCAAATATTGCTAATAGGAATGCAAAATGGTATAATCCACTTAGAAAACAGGCAATTTCTTAAAAAGTTCAATATAAATCTACTATAAGATACAGCCATTCCACTCTTAAGGTGCATGGCTGAGCAACAAAAGCACTTGTCTTTACAAATACTTGTACATCAATGTTCACAGCAATTCTTTGTTTAAAATATTCATAAATCGACAACAACCCAAATGCCCATCAAGAGGAGAGGTGATGAGCTGTGGTACCTCCATTCTGTGGAATGCTACTC